GCAGCTCAATATCCCCTGCTTCAGTGGAGTGAATATGGTCTCAGTATTCCGAGATAGCTAGCCAATGAGAGCGTGCATTCTTACGATGTTGTGACCATAGTATATGCTAATTATATATTATATATATTCTGTTTACTAACCACTTGCTCCTGAAATTCCATATAAGTCACATAAAAAGGAGTAGTCCCCAAATGCAAAAAGTATTAGTTTATATTCTCTGAAATATTGAAAAGTTAAAATTGTCAATTTAGACACTAATTTTGAATGAATGCCTTCATGTATAAAAATCATTGGTCAGTTTCTCATTTAAATAGCTTATGGACATTATGTACCTAAATATGATTGTGTTATCTATAACTTTTCAACAATTTAAATTGACAAACATAACTGTTCATAAATAAGTTGCATATGTTTACAATAGAAAAAGCATACAGATTTAAATAAGAAAAAAGCTGTGATATGAGCAATGCCTATCTATTAATATACATGCCTCCATTTTTCTTTTTGTAGACAGTCTATGTTATTGACATATCTGTCCAACCCAACCTTAAGATTATGTGGGTTGTCTGGAGCCTCAAAAAGATTAAACACTACAGTGTTTCTTGTTGAATTTGGGGTTGCTGTGTTGGCAATTTCAAATCCCATCTTSAAACTTCCCCCTTAAATCAAAAAGCAAAATTAACAGGAACAGGTGATAACAAAGATAATTTCTTTTTCAGAAAATTTGAGATAAACATGTCATGTGACCTGYCTTCATTTCATATTGACTGTTTTTATTATGGGCTCTGAAAAGAGACGTTTGATTTTAAATATCTTTTTAAGAAGCATTGGACCATTCACTTTTATTTTTTTATTATTGGCTCCAAAAAGAGCCATTTAATTTTGTTTGTATGATGTGTGATAGTTCTTTTCACTCCATTTTAATTGGTACTCGTTCGATCAGCAACTCCATATAGTAACTGTATATCCAGCTTCCATTGTCATATAGCTATCTCCTGCTGATAATGGTATCAATACAAATKGATTAATTACTAAAATTTATGTGCAATCTTACCTCCCTTATCTCCCCCAATCTTTAGCCATATTTCATCTTTTGGGATTAACCCATCGTGCCATGTAAGTCTTTGATGCCTAGTACATAAAATATGGT